CTCCAGTCTTCAGTGTCACATGATCTTCAGAAATCATTCTAATATGCTGATTTGCTGTTCAAGAAACATTTATGGTTATCGTAAAAAAACGTTTATTTTTAGGTTTCTTTGATGAACAGAAAGTTCAAAAGAACAGCATTTATTTGAAATAAAAATATTTTGTGAAATTGTCTTTGATGTCACTTTTGATCAATTTAATGTGTCCTTGCTGAATAAAAGTATTAATTTATTCCAAAAAAAATCTTACTGACCCCAAACTTTTGAACAGAAATGTATGGTTATTAGGTTATTTCCTCCAATTTTAGGGTGAAATATGACCCAAAAGTGTTCTTGACAGGTTGCTTCACATACTGAACCCTTATTGGCTGGATCTGTTTTGTTTTATGTTGCACTGTCTGTTGGTGTTTTAATAAGTGTCCGTATACCTGTGCAGGTGATCTGTTCACAACCCGAAGACTACAACCAGCGTGAGGTTTTGTGTGACGGGTCTCCAGAGGGACCGTTACTGCGTAATCCAGGTAACCACGACCCAAAGCGTGTCCCGCGGCTGCCCACCTCCGCAGACGTGGAGTCAGTGCTGAGCCTAACAGAGTACGAGACGGGCCTGATGGACAGACACGCCAACATGAGCTTCAGGAACGCTCTGGAAGGTAAAGCAACAGCACATTTAGAGTGAGAAAAAGAGATTATAAAACAGATAGTTCCGGTCCTTGATTCTGATTGGCTGAGCCACGTTCGAAGCTGTTACAAACATACGCCTTTGTTTACCACTTTATTGCAACCACAACTGTTTCTGAGGAACTACATTGTTTGGTGGAAGAATACTGTTTTTATTAATATCATTACACTTTATATGCTCTACATATATGGAATAACCGTTTTATAAAAGCAATTAGCACCGTGAAGCCGTGGTTTACAGTGAATTTATAACAGCTAAGGGGTTTTAGGCACTCTGCTTCGCATCTTACCTAACAACGCCCCTTAGCAGTTATAAATTCACTGTAAACCACAGCTTCTTGGGGCTTATTGCTTTAATTTTACACTTCCTTAACACATCAGGCTCGAAACACTGAACGTGTCTCACCGTTTTCTCAGGTTTTGCGAGTCCTGAGACGGGGTTGGCAGTAACGGGTCAGAGCTTGATGCACAACTCCTTACACGTCTACATGAACGGATCCATGTCTTCAGTGCAGGGATCCGCCAACGACCCCATTTTCCTTCTACATCATGCCTTTATCGACAGGTGAAATGCATGTACAAACTCGTAACAATCATTTGAACAAACATGCAGACCACTAAACATGTGGTTTAATTGCATAATAACTACATAATTCACCCGTACAAATGTGCAATAGTCATGAATGACACCATCAAATCATGCAATATTATATGCATTTATACAGGGATTCTGAAACTTTTCAGCTGAACACATTTGACCTCAAATATTTACTTGAAGTGCCCATAAGATTTTAATTTACTATTTCAGTAATTTAACTACATATATTGCATGGTTCTCTGATACCTGTTAATGGTCAAATGACATGCAGTCTTTTTTTGGGGGTATTTTTTTTTTTTATATATATATATTTAGTCTTTTTTTTCAGCAATTAATTAATAATTTTTTATTAATTATTGCCCTTTCATCAGTTTACAAATTTGCAGGGATTAGCAAATCCTAGTTTGGGAAAACCTGCATTAATAATAATAATAATAAATAAATAAATATTTAAGATTATTTATTTGTTTATTTTAATTTAACATTTGTATGATGTAATTATTAGCTTTTGATCAACTCACAAATCAGCAGCGATTTGCAAAACCCAATTTGGGAAACCCTGTTTTAATAAAAAATATAAATATACACATATTTGTTCATATATACATTTTTAGTAGTTTTATTTTGATTATTTATTTTAATTTGACATTTTTATGATTTCATTTATTATCAGCTTTTCATAAACTCACAAATCAGCAGGGATTTGTGAATCCTAGTTTGGAAAACCCTGCATTAATAATAAAATTATATACAATTATTTTGTCATATATCATATTTTTTTAATGGTTTATTTGATTATTTTATTTTAAGATTATTTATTTCAATTTTACATGTTAAAGATTTAATTATTAGCTTTTCATCAAACCCACTGGGATTTACAAACCTGTTTGGGGAACCCTGCATTAATGACAATCAATCTTTATCGATATAAGAGTTCACTACATTTTAGATGTTAGCTTCTGAACTTTAGCTCAGGATGAAGTTAACCTGTGTATTTTTGCTTAATGCACATTTGAACTGTCTCACAAAAATGTAAACAATAATTGCAAATGCAAAATCTTATGGACACCCTATATTAAAGATATTTTAGGGGTTGCTTTTCTGACTTGAGCCAGTAAGAAACCAACCAGCACACCTTTGTGTGCATATTTGAATGGAAAGCATGATTGCTGAAAAGGTTTCATGAAACGTTGATTGACCTCATTTCCCATGGACTGTGCGTTTCTGTGTTTCAGCATCTTTGAGCAATGGCTGAGGAGACACCAGCCCCCCCGCACACACTACCCGACAGCCAACGCCCCGATCAGACACAATGATGGCTATTACATGGTCCCCTTCATCCCTCTGTACAGAAACGGAGATTATTTCCTCTCGACTAAAGCTCTGGGATATGAATATGCATATTTACAGGACCCAAGTGAGTCATTAGCATGCATTCAGGGACTTTCCTGCACCTTCAGTCTCTCTCTGTGTACTCAATCACTTTTATCTCTGGCAGGTCAGCGGTTTGTGCAGGAGTTTTTGACGCCGTATCTAGAGCAAGCTCAGCAGATCTGGCGCTGGCTGCTGGCCGCGGGGCTCCTCGGGGCGGCCGTGTCAGGAATTATTGCAACTATTATCGCCGTGGCGTGTCGCAGACGCCCGAAGAGGCGAAAGTTATCGGCGTACGGGGAGAGACAGCCGCTGCTGAACAGCAGTGAAGAGGGATCGACTTCATATCAGACTACACTGTGAATCAGAGCGAGGACAGATACGCCAAGCTGACGGGAAAAAGACACAACAGCCAGTCAACCCAGGTCATGTGACAAATGAGACAAGGTCTTGCCTCTTAAACTGGAGTCATGCAATAAGCGCTGCGTTCAGAATCTTGCTATAGTATGCATAATGTGCACTACATACAGTACTGTTTTTGATTTTATTCAGCAAGGATGCATTAAATGTATCAAAAGTAAAGACATTTGTAATGTCTTTCTATTTCAAACAAAAAATGCTGCTCATTTGAACTTTCTATTCATCAAAGTATCTTAAAAAATAAAATGTATCAGTTTCCACAAAATATGAAGCAGCACAACTGTTTTCAACATTGATAATAATCAGAAATGTTTCTCGAGCAGCAAATCAGCATATTAGAATGATTTCTGAAGATCATGTGACACTGAAGACTGGAGTAATGATGCTGAAAATTCAGCTTTGATCACAGGAATAAATTATATTTTATAATATATTACAATAAAATGCAGTTATTTGAAATTGTAAAAATATTTCACAATATTACTGATTTTACTGTATTTTTTAATCAAACAAATGCAGCTTTGGTGAGCAGAAGAAACTTCTTTCAAAAACATGTTTAAAAGTCTTACTGACCCCCAAATTTTGACTGCTAGTGTACATACTACACATTAGTCAAAAAGTGCAGTATACAATAAAAATATACTGATTAAAATACTGCATCACATAATGCAATGCACTTGACTGGACTTTCAATTTCCAGTGCGATGAATAAACCCCAAATTTTAACATCTCCTCATGCAATCTGACTGAAGTTAGGTTTTTTGCTTTTAAAATTACTTAATTTCAAATGCAAAATAACAATTTTCATTTCCAAGACAATTAAAAATGTAACATAGTGAGGTCATATGACATTACTGTTGCATACTATTGTTTGACATGCTTGTTGTTGCATAATGCATTCTGATTTGCATGATAATTAATAAATAGTACACAGTGCAGTAAGCTAGTTTTCTGAACACAACTAAGGTCTCTAGTCAACCACTGATATTTATGGTGCTTATATCATCACTGTGGCACTTACGTATTGTGCGTTTATATATAATACGCATACAAAGTAATATTAAAAAGATTGATATGATAAATCAGTGATTAAATTAAATCTTTGGTAGTGGTGATACAATAACAGTGCGGTTCATTTAGGACACTGACATGAGCATATTCTGTCCTAATAAAATATGAACAATAATGCAACATGCTGTACAAAACACAAAAGAAATAAATATTTAAAAAGAAACAAAAACATATACTTTAAATATGGTTTGCATGTACGTTTGTGTTTGTAAAGGTATAAAATAAACCAAAACATGCTATTAATAGCCAAGACAACATGTGAAATGACATGAGGGTGAGTAAATTATGTCAGAATTTTCATTTTTTTGGGTGATCTAGTGCTTTTTAACCCAGTTTATATAGGAATAATTCACCCAAAAATGAAAATTTGCTGAAAATATCCTCGCCCTCAGGCCATCCAAGATTAGGATGAGTTTGTTTCTTCATCAGATTTGGAGAAATGTAGCATTGCATCAGTGTCTCAGCAATGGATGCTCTGCAGTGAATGGGTGCCGTCAGAATGAGAGTCCAAACAGCTGATAAAAACATCACAATAACCCACAAGTAATCCACACCACTCCAGTCCATCAATTAACGTCTGGAGAAGCTAAAAGCTGAAGCAAATCCATCATTAAGACGTTTTAACTTCAAACCGTTGCTTCCAACAAACTTGTATTGTATTGGGCTTACTGTATTTTGGCCAGAAGAAAGTTTCAAGTTAAAAACGTCTTAATGATTTTTTTCTTACACACAGCTTTTGTCTTCTCCAGATGTTAATTGATGGACTGGAGTGGTGTGGATTACTTGTGATTATTGTCATTCTGACGGCACCCATTCACTGCAGAGGATCCATTGCTGAGCATCTACATCTTGGATGGCCTGAGGGTGAGGACATTTTCAGCAAATTAAAATTTTTGGGTGAGCTGTTCCTGTAAAGGTCTATCAAGGGTTCATGTAGACAAACTCTACATGCAGAATCTCAAATATTCCCTGAATGCAACTGTGCAAGTTTACCATCTCATTACACTGTTTACCGGCTTTCCGTCCCTTCGTCTGAGGATTCATTTTTAGATAAGGATGCTGTGCATGAATTCCAGACATCTTCATCTACATTTGTCCTCTCTTATCTTCATTCCTCAGTGACAGAAACAGACTCTAATGGCTTTTTATTTGGCATTAAACGATGGGTTTGTTTGCGTCCTCAGCTGAAGGACTCTTTGTTGTACTCAAATGCAGTTCCTGTGTGTGGGTTTGAATTGCACAGAGTGTGTAACGCTTTAGAGATCCCTTTGGGTCCACAGCAGAAAACCCCCACTCTTTTACTGCAGAACAAACACACACATCATCATTTTTGATTACTGCAATCATTAAAGTGGCCTGCATAACTACATTATTTCAGCCAGTAATGGACAAATTCATCATACTCACAGCTGATTGGCTCTCCCTATTTCCTGGAAAAGGAGTTTCCATTCTGGTCGACCAATCCGAAGCCTGGAGCTCAAGAAACGGTAGCGTTCCTCACTGATGCTCTTCAAAACACACAATGAAAGAAATTACTTCAGTATGACAACTGACATATGCATATTTTAATGTAAAATAATGAACTAGATGTTTACATTTTCTGAAAACAAAAGAGCAAAGCTTGCATCTACAAAACTCAAGTTATAAATTAATATTAAATAAGTAGTAATAAAATGAAAATAAAGTGCACACCTGTAATCCCTGAGTGTTACTGAGGTAGAGCTGAACATTAAGATAATCTGGACGATTGTCCCGCCACAGCTACAGAGAGAGGACAATAACTGTTAGATTTTTCACATTAGACATTAACATATGCATAACATCAGAGCCAGTAGGTGGCGGTATAGACTTTTGAAACTTTCATGCATACTGCATAAAGTGTCTATATTTTGAATATAGTGTTTTTCTAAGACGTTCATGCATTTTTAACACTATAAAGTCTACTGTATCATAATTGATACATTAAAGGCCTCTAAATGATCAACTTAGTAATCAGTTACTACCCAGCTGTGTGTGTGTGTGTGTGTGTGTGTGTGTGTGTGTGTGTGTGTGTG